CTAATTTCGCCCCCAACTGCCCTTTCCTGCCTGCCTGATCACCCCTAACTGCCCTCTCCTGCAGGCCTGATCTTGCCCCCAACTGCCCTCCTCTGCCAGCCAATTTTGTTCTGATTGGTCAGTTTCTATGCCAGTCAGCGTCAAAAGCTCTGCCTCCTAGGCAGCCATTGGCTCCTCACAGTTGACCTAGATTTGGTTCTGATTGGTCGGTTTCTATGCCAATCAGGGTCTCTGGGCCTATCAATGGGACCTGATCAGAAAGGCAGGGCTGATCAGCAGCCTTGGTGGAGGCCTGGAGAGAAATGGAGGCATGGCTGCTGACCAGGCCTGGAGCTAAAGAGAGGGGCAAGTGCTGATCAACAGCTGCCACACAGGCTATGGATCAGACCCTGCTTCTCTCTTCAGGCCTCTCTCTGGGCCTGATTTGCAGCCCCCTCAGCAGTCAGCGCTGGGTTGCTATGGCAACCCAGCGCTGACTGCAGGACTGACTTTCGGTTGGTGTAGCCCCCGGTTAGAGAGAAAAAAAGTCTATAGATGAGTGATGTAAGTGACCAATAAGGACTATATATATATATATATATATATATATACACACACACACTTACTAGGGAAGTATTTACTTATAGTACTGTTGAAGTGGATATAATTTTAATCCTAAAATTGTAATTTACCAGCTATATTTAAAAAAGACTTCCCAAATTAAAATTACTGGGATAAATCAATAACCAAAAAAATTATTTAAAGCATATTCTAAATATGTCATAGGAAGAGTATAACATTTGGATATAGTTTTAATATTAAATATTTATTTTTATACGTTTTAAAAGAATTTACTATTTATAAGAATTTATATACATTTTACATGCCTTTCAGTCATTTGGACTACACATGTAACTATAATATTTCATTTACAGGTTAATCTAAATATGTTGTTTATATTTCTAATTTTCATTTTATAACCTCAGTGAGAATTTTCTATATCAGGGATTAAAATTTCTATTCCAATATTTCTAACCCTTATATAGCCACTAGACATTTGGTCTCTTTTGGAAGGAAGGACAGTTTGTGCTGAGAATTTGTGATCTGTACCTATGACCTCACTTTCTATTTCAGTGGGCATCAAGCCTGAAATTTAGTAGGAACTCGATAGCACCTTTTAAAATGAGTAGCACAGTAACATTTGTTAATTTTTTTGAAGATTTAGAAATATCATCACATGGAAGTTATTTTAATAGTGCCAATATGATCCTTAAAGGAGATGTTACTTTTCTTTACATGCTCATTTTTATGATACTTGGTTTGGTTTCTCTTTTTAGGAATGGCAAAATTCTATTCAGAAGAATGCAGGACTTGCATTTATTGAACTCATCAATGAAGGAAGGTAATAAATTTCACAATTTTTATTCCACTGCACATTTTATTCCACTGGGAGCTGTTTTTTTCCCTGCCATCTGGTCAAAAAATGTGTAAGAAAATGTTTTAATTAAATAATGTACCACAGAAACTTTAAAGGAACAAAATTTAAAATGTTAAAAATATTTATTCAGTCAGGAGCATGTATGAAATAAAGGGACAAACTTTAGAAAATTTTTGTGAGATTGGAGCCACACCTTACTAAGTAGTAAAGTTGTTTTACATAGATCAAGTGAACCCCGTCTGCAGTCCCATCTGCCACTCCATCTGGTTTCAGTGTTATGCTCCATGTGGACTCCCTCTGCCTATCTCAGCTCATGTGAAACAGTTTTATCTGAACATGCTGTGCTATCTGGTATCCAGCTGAAAATGTGAAGGATGTTAAATATAGGAAGTATAACAGTCTGGTTAGGAATTTATATATACCATTATTAAAATGATGCTATAAGTAAAATTATGTTTGAGCCTATTATTGTATTTTCTCTTTATTATAAACAGTTGTTCACTATAACTTTCCGAAAACTTTTCTGGCAGTGTATACATTAAGACAAATGTAACTGTCATCATTTTGACATGTATAGCTTCTATTAGCTAAAGACCTGCATTCTTTGCAACTTGAGTTTCTTCTATGATACAGTATAATCTTTGAGATATAATGACTGATATTTGGTGTAATCTATTTATTTGTATTTCAAACCAAATTAAATTAAATTGATAAATAATGCTTACTATATATAAAATTTTATCAAGGGAGTGGTATTATGAAAGAATATTTTACAACATATCCCTTGAAAATTAGTTTGTGTATGGTAGAGAAATCCATTTTTAAAGTAACTTAAATAAGTTTAGTATTATTGTTTTTTTCCCCATCAAGTTTTATAGTCTAAGAAATAGCCTCTGTTGTTATAACAATGAATCTTAATGAATATCTCTCATTTAGATATTCCATGTTTGAATTATTTTTAGTCACAATAATGTAACTCTAAAAATTTAAATAAGTTTTTGACTCACTGCAAAGCAAAAGATGCAACAAAATATTAGTTTTTTTTAAGTAACATAAATAAGTTTACATAACAACACACTGTAGTTCTTATAAAACTTTATTATTGTAAGAATTGACAATAATTATTACCCATCTTCAGGTGATGAAAACTAGAAAAAAAAATTCACAGGCTACTTACTCATTGTCATATCAGTTACAGAAACTCTCAATTCACATTCATGGTAATTTTGCAAATTTCTTTCAACTGTGAAGTAAAAAAACAAAAATTATTTTGTCATCAGTAACTCTGAAGAGTTAACAGAATTGAACCTTTAACAGTTAAGATTATAATATTGTCTAAGACAAAAAGAGGATGGAGAATTTGCTATTATCAGAGGATTTTAGCTCTTGATGCTGTATTATTGTTCAGTGGTAGAGTTTGTTTTATTTTAGGAAAGAGGTTGGAATTACAGAAAGTAGTTTAATTTTGTTTAAATTTAAATCCATGAAAGCCTTCAAAATGTTCACCATATTTTTGTGCCATTCTATTTTTTTTTAATATTTTTTTTATTGATTTTTTACAGAGAGGAAGGGAGAAGGGTAGAAAGTTAGAAACATCGATGAGAGAGAAACATTGATCAGCTGCCTCCTGCACACCCCCTACTGGGGATGTGCCCGCAACCCACGTACATGCCCTTGACTGGAATCGAACCTGGGAACCTTCAGTCCGTAGGCCGACACTCTATCCACTGAGCCAAACCGGTTAGGGCATTTTGTGCCATTCTAGAGTGTACTTCTATTTTCATACAAATTTTCCCTCCATTAAAGATGGTTTTGGAATAATAATTGAAACATAACTAGCTATAAATATACAGATCATGTATACATTAGTACAGCAAATGTCTAGTCTGCACCTTCTACATCACAATTGTCTAGTCAGCACCTTCTACATGACATATTACAAGAACCTGGAATAGAGAAGTGAATAAGACAAACATTAAACTGGCACACACAATAATGCAATGGTGCTATGATTGTGGTGGTATAGGAATTAATGCAAGCCTAAGGCAGGGTACTTAATCTCATCTAGAGGGATGCATTCTCCAAATGGTTGGGTTATCAGGGTATAAGATGATAGTCTTTTCGACAAATGATGCTGTAACAACTGGACATCCATCCACATGTGAAAAATCTAGACATGGATTTAATGACAGCACAAAAATTAACTGAAAGAGGATCACAGACATAAGTATGAAATGCAGAACTATAGAACTCCTAGAAGATAACATAGGAGAAAATCTCCATGACCTTGGGTATAGTGATGCCTTTTTAGATACAATACCAAACGTATGAGCCATGAAAGAAAAAAGTGCTAAACTGGACTTCATTAAAATATAAAATTTTGCTTTGTGAAAGAGGTTGTCGGACTCTCATAGCAAGTTAGCCTGGAGGTCAAATCACCCCCGGTATTGCCGACAACAATCAAGGCTTAATTACAACAAGACTGCGCACGAAGACCGCAAGGGGGTGCACCAAGAAAGCATAAATAATGCGGAGACAAAGAAACATGACAGAAATGGAGGATATAGAGCTAAAAAATGCACTTTTAAGGTCTTTCAATAATTTGGTAGAAACTGCTGATAAATGTAGTGAGATCCTCAAGAAATCTAATGAGACCCTCAATGTTGTGATAAAGAACCAAGTAGAAATTAAGCATACACTGACTGAAATAAAGAATATTATACAGACTCTCAACAGCAGACCAGAGGAGCGCAAGGATCAAGTCAAAGATTCGAAATGCAAAGAAGCAAAAAACACCCAACCAGAAAAGCAAAATGAAAAAAGAATCCGAAAATACGAAGATAGTGTAAGGAGCCTCTGGGACAGCTTCAAGCGTACCAACATCAGAATTATAGGGGTGCCAGAAGATGAGAGAGAGCAAGATATTGAAAACCTATTTGAAGAAATAATGACAAAAAAATTTCCCCCACCTGGTGAAAGAAATAGACTTACAAGTCCAGGAAGCGCAGAGAACCCCAAGCAAAAGGAATCCAAAGAGGACCACACCAAGACACATCATAATTAAAATGCCAACCACAAAAGACAAAGAGAGAATCTTAAAAGCAGCAAGAGAAAGAAACTCAGTTACCTACAAGGGAATACCCATATGACTGTCAGCTGATTTCTCAACCGAAACTTTGCAGGCCAGAAGGGAGTGGCAAGAAATATTCAAAGTGATGAATGCCAAGAACCTACAACCAAGATTACTTTATCCAGCAAAGCTGTCATTCAGAAGTGAAGGTCAGATAAAGAGCTTCGCAGATAAGGAAAAGCTAAAGGAGTTCATCACCACCAAACCAGTATTATATGAAATGCTGAAAGGTATCCTTTAAGAAGAGGAAGAAGAAGAAAAAGGTAAAGATACAAATTATGAACACGAAGCATGCATCTATCAACAAGTGAATCTAAGAATCAAGTGAATAAATAATCTGATGAACAGAATGAACTGGTGATTATAATAGAATCAGGGACATAGAAAGGGAGTGGACTGACTATTCTTGGGGGGAAAGGGGTGGGGGAGATGCTGGAAGAGACTGGACAAAAATCGTGCACCTATGGATGAGTACAGTGGGTGGGGAGTGAGGGCGGAGGGTGGGGCGGGAACTGGGAGGAGGGGAGTTATGGGGGGGAAAAAGAGGAACAAATGTAATAATCTGAACAATAAAGATTTAATAATAAAAAAAAGAAAGAGGTTGTCAAGAGAATGAGAAGGCAAACCACAGACTGTCGGAAAATATTTGCACAAGATATATCTGATGAAGGACTATTATCTTAAAACTATTGGCCTGGTGCATGAAATTCATGCAAGGGGGGGGGCTGTCCTCCAGCCCAGCCTGCACCCTCTCCAATCTGGGACCCCTTGGGGGATGTCCAACTGCCAGTTTAGGCCCAATCCCACACAGGGATCGGGCCTAAACCGGCAGTCAGACATCCCTCTCACAATCCGGGACTGCTGTCTCCTAACCACTCGCCTGCCTGCCTGATTCATGGCTCGGAGCGGCCACCGTGCCCCCCTCCGCTGTGCTGCTGGCCATCTTGTGGTAGCCATCTTGTGACAACCTGGGGCGGCCATCTTGTGATGATGGATATAATATGATGGATATCATGGATATAATATGAAGTCTTTTTTAAAAATTTCTTTATTGATTAAGTTATTATATATGTGTCCTTATCCCCACATTACCCCCAACCCCCCCGACCCCCCACTCATGCCCTCACCCTCTGGTATCTGTGTCCATTGGTTAGGCTTATATGCATATATACAAGTCCTTTGGTTGATCTCTCCTCCTTACCCCCACCCTCCCCTACCTTCCCTCTGAGGTTTGATGGTCTGATCAGTGCTTCTCTGTCTCTGCATCTGTTTTTGTTTATCAGTTTATGTTGTTCATTATAAAACTCAACAATAAGAATATAAACAATCTGATTTAAAAATGAGCCAAAGACCTAACAGATACCACACCAAAGAAGATACACACATGGAAAATAAACATATGAGAAAATGCTGTACATATCATCAGGGAAATGCTAATGACAACAACAAAGAAATACCACTATACATTTATTAGCATGTCCAAATTCCAGAACACTTGACAACACCTAATGCTGGTAAGGATGTGGAATAACTGTACTTTCAGTTGTTGCTGGTGAGAATGCAAAATATATAGCCACTTTGAAAGACAGGCTGGTGATTTCTTACAAAAGTAAATATACTCTTACTATATAGTCCAACAGCCATGCTTCTATCCATCCAAAGAAGTTAAAAACTTAAGTCCACATAAAAACCTGCATGCAGATGTTTATATTCACTTTGTTCATAATTGCCAACACTTGGATGTCAAGATGCACTTTAGTAATTAATGGATAAATAAATACCCATTCATTTGTATGATACATCCAGAAAATGGAATATTTGTTACTTAGTTCTA